AAGCTGGTCACCCCAGCTTATGAATTTTTAGTTTATAAGCACTTTAAGTTTGATCAAGATTTTTACTATTTTATCCTTTAAATACTCCTTTTTGAACAAAACTCCTACATTGATACTCACGGGCTCAAGTATCTTTTCAACCTAGACCCCCCACCCCCCACCCCACCCCCACAACGTTTTCAAGTCTTCAATTCTCATTGACTATTTAAGATAAGCAAATGCTCTATTCATTTACATATTTATATTTATGTGATTGTTTATTAATCCTTGAAATGTATGTAATAAATAAGGACATATCAAATTTTTGGTACATGTTTCTAAGTGTTGTGGGTAATGAAGACAGTGTTTATTTCTCTTCAAATATTTTGTCTTATTTAGGTTTTTTTTACTGAGAAACTTTTGTAAATTTATTAATTATTATTACTTAGAATTATATGCTTATCATAAAATAAATTATATTTATCATAAAAATTATCTTATCTAACCACAGTTGTATTTAAAATAAAATGACAAATAGAATATTTTGTATTTAAATCGATCTGGAATCTGAAATTTTAAGAAATTATGCTCTTATAAGTGTAAAGAGTTCTAAGGTTATTTAAGTCATTTTAATAGAAAAAGAGCTTATTAGCACTTTTTTACCAAATACCGCAACAACTTGTTATCAATTCTAGCACTTGTACCCAAATACGTAACTACTTATTTATTAAATCAGTTTCAGCGTTTAAAAGTGCTTTTCAGCACCTAATGCATACTTATCAGCTAATTCAAATCAGCTAATCCAAACAGGCTATTTTCAAAACTTTTAAGACCTCAAATTCATTTATTTATTCAAGTTTTTACTTTTGATGTTATATTTGTTTTCTCTATTAAAATATATCTTCAATCATTGTCTTAATGCATCTTTTTTCTTCTACCACTACAATTGTACATACGTTAAAAAAAGATCTTAAATCTTCTTTTTTGTAAGTCAAACAAAAAGTGAAGGCCACAGAATGATGAAGTAATGAAATACCATGAAAGGCAGTCGTATTTATAATAATTTTTGCAGAGACCATTACCAGAATATTATGTTAGGGAGTTCTTCTCATTGTAGTGGCTCTTTTGGTCAAACCCTATTTTTTAATATATTATAAGCTTTTGGTGTATAATTTATTCAAGCCAAGTCAATACTGGCCGACCTTCGAATGTGCCTCTTCCAAATCTCTAAAGGTTGAGAGAGCATGAAGGGGTGTGGGGCGGGATGGTTAGAATCCGTCCATCTTTAATCAAATATTTTGAGTTCAAGTAATTAAAATTATAACATTTTAGTAGGGACGTCCATCTTTAATCAAATATTTTTAGTTCGAGCAATTAAAATTATAACATCTTAGTAGGGACGTCCACCTTTAATCAAAGATTTTAAGTTCGAGCAATTAGAATTATAACTTCTTAGTAGGGAGTGATTATTCTCTGACAAAATGTTAATCCAATACAAATATTGATTAATCGAGCTACTAAATTTCAAATAATGGATAATTAAACAGAAAGTTATTTTTCCAAATAATCAACCACTAGTTTTGGCCAAATCCAATTCCAACATTTTTGACCCTTTATTCTCCACAAGAAGTTGGGGAGTTGTACTACTAACGATTATTATGATCTTTACCCACTTAAATTTTTTTCCTTCATATGGAATTCTCGACGTGTTCCAATAACGTTAGTAGTAATAGTAAGACCAATTGTATTCATTACTCACCAGCATCAAATCAAAGTGACTGAAAGACAGAGATATATCAATAGAATTTTGTAAGGGTTCAACGCAAAAATGACAAAATCTAATATGTAATTTCCTTAAGAGGGTCCCTTTACTGGCATATAATGTAAGGCTCAGTTTGTCTATAAATTATTTTTTTTCAAAAGTGTGTTTGTTTATGAAATTTTGTACGCTTTTGAAATTTTTCGAAAGTAAGTTTTTAAAAATCAAAAAGTGATTTTGACCACTTTTTCAAAACTTTTAGAAAAAAAATTTTTTTCCACTCACGAAACTGCAATATTTTTTCATTAAATGCATATCCACACATAATTTCAAATTCCAAATACCATTTCTCAACTTAATTCCAAATACTACTTTTTTTTCAAAAATTATAATTTTTATGTCCTAACGCCTACTAAATGTGTCAAACATTTGAGCTACATATATCCCATGCATAATTGAAATTTAAACCGTGGGAGTATTAATAATGGTTGCTTCTGGACTTAGAAAGATCAATTAGTGGTTTAATGTAGAGAGTGTTAATTTCCTAGTGAAATACACGAAAAGGAATCATCCTTACATGTTCTTTCCCCAACAATCTATTCATTAGTGATTACTGACAATATTGGACTTTTTTTAAAAGTTAATATGCCATTAAGCAGTGTGCATAGTAGCTATTTTTAATTATAAATAAATCTTCAAAAGAAACTTTACCTTACAAATCGTAATAGGGTAGTGTTTAGGTATTCTTTTGATCTTTCAAACCTTGAAATGCAACTTAATTGAAGGGGACCATGTCCCTTAAACTTAATTAAGATGCCCCTTAAGCACTTGCAATTGGTATCAAAAACCTCTTTTGTATAATACAAGTTGAGATTAAAAACTTTGAATTAACCTTCTCTAAAAGCAAGTGGCATGATATTTAATTTTAATAAACATATATAACATGCTTGTTTCCTCCTCTCCCCTATACTATCATTGACCACTTACCCTATTAATATTTTTTAAAACTTCATACCAATAATTCCTCTATGTAGAACCTTGATATAGCCTTGCTTTGTCCCAATATATTGACCAAGAAAAAAAAAGTTAAAGAAAGTAAATCAAAAAGCCTAATTTTTTGGGGGAAAGCATCACAAAATAGAGATGTAGAGAAAAACTTCTAGCATATACGTGAATATAACTGAACTTGTTCCAAATGATCATTTACACACCGAAATTTTGTACTAATTTTTCCCTTTCATTATATTCTTGTTTAGAGTGAAACTAATACTTTCTTAAGTAATGACATGACAGAAACATGTTATTAATTCATCTGAGACTCGTGACAAGTTGAAAGTACACAAAATTCAAAAATTTTGACAACTAGAACTGTTTAAAACTTGAAAATTGGAAGTTAGGGGTTCACATTACATATTTTTCAGGTGTGGCCTAATGATTAGTAAAGCGAATTGAGAACCATAAAGTTTATATTTAAATTTAAGCGGAGAAAAAAGCACAAGTTGATTCTTTGCTCTTTGTCCAAGCCTTGACGAATATTAGATTTTTTTGTATTTGTACCGGTAAAAAACAATAAATACTTCATAAAATTAGTTAAAATACGTATAAATTGACGGAACACTATAATTACAACAAAATATAGGTAAAGAATAATGGAAGACAAGGCCGTTTAAGAGGTACTTGTGCCTTGTTTTTCTGTAGGAAAATGATGACATATATGAAAGACGTGAGCATAGAATTAGATGGTGGGAAGGTAGTAGGGTTACGTAGAGAGAAATAAAATGACAACTCAAACGTCAAATCGTAGGATTTCAGATTATAAGACAAGCAGTGATGTATTGTCATTCAGTGCAGATTTCTTTCTTTTGTTTCTTCTCCATTTTTCTTCTTTTTTTTCCTTTGAGAGAGACCTAAACCTCCCCACTTAATTAATTCCCCACATTGAGAGGAGAAAATAACAGCTCTGACATTAATTATGACGAGGACGATCCTCTAACACAATTCATAATTTTAATAAAAAACAATAATAAAATAAGCGTTGAGCCTAACTCACATCTCAAAATCTAGCCTGAAAGGAGGATTGTCCAAGTCTTATAAAGAGACCAAGAATCTCATCCCCGTCTGATGTGGGATTTATTCCATTCATCGGGCAACAATTTGAACTTCTTGTCATTGTGACTCCAAACAAATAGTTGTCTTTTAATTGATCTTATTTTAGATATCGATTCCTAATTTATTCAATAGAATTACATTCAAGTTATTTAACAAAACAAAACATATTCAAATCTTCATTAAGTGAAAACACACGGCATGGATTGTACCTAAAAATATATGTAAGAGCATGATTAAAAGTTAGCCTATAAATATACGAATCACATACTCCCTCCGTTCACTTTTACTTGGCATATATAGTAAAAATAGATTTTTATTTTTATTTATTATGCCCACAGTATTTATTACTCATTTCAAATCATTTTCTCAAATTCAATAAAATATGCATCAATTAAAATGGATATCATGGTAAATTATGCACTTCATTTATTATTTCTTAAGGGACGTAAAAAGTCACAATGTGCCAAGTAAAAATGAACAGAGGGAGTATAAAGATCCTTTCCCTACCATTGTGCATGCCATACATTTGTTATGGATTTCAAGAGATCGGTCATTTTTAGGTACAACATCCTTCTATATGATTTTAGATTTATCTTGTTCACTTCTAATGACTTCAGTCACCATAATTTCACATATACAAATAATTGCATTTAGAGATCAACGTAGAATATGACCAATTAATTTTTATCGACATTCTCACATTTTATCTTAAGCATGTAATTGTAACTAAATCTAATTAAATTACAGTACATTTTCTAAGGATCATTAACTCACAAATCTTTTACTTTCAACACGCGCTTCTCCAACAAGATCTACATTTCAACCCAAAAAAAAACCCTAAATATACATGTTTCTATTAGGCCAGCTAATGAATGACCCCTAAAATCCCATAGAAAAAAGAAAGGAAAAACCAACACAAAAAACTATAAAAAGATATAAAATAAAATAAATAAAAAAAGAACATAGAAAAACCAAAGAGAAGAAGAAAGAAGCAATATAGATTAGTTTATTGGGAACCCATCATTTTTCTTTTCAATCTTCATTTCATGTTTTTCTTGAATTTTTCTTTTTTATCTATATTCTCTCTTCTTCTTCTTTTTTCTTTTTTTTTTTTTTAAAATACCTCAGCCGCCCAGTATAACCATCCATATTGCTTCACCCTCTCTCTCTCTCTCTTATTATCTAACCACACAACACAACAGAAAACACCAACCATGGACAGAATCTCACAAGAAATAACACTGTGACTACTTCATCATCCCAAGTCCCAACAGTAGTTAAAACTATACACAGAAGACTTTAGTTTTCTTTATACACAGCAAAATTCTAGCCACATAGTGTTTCTTTACTTTTCTTTTTGTACCACTTTTGGGTTTTGTTGAGAATATGAGTAGTACTCCTGAAGACAACTTAAGAAGTCTGTCTTTAGATTATCTAAACCTTCTCATTAATGGACAAGCTTTTAGCGATGTTACTTTTAGTGTTGAAGGTCGTTTAGTTCATGCTCATAGATGCATCTTAGCTGCAAGGAGTCATTTCTTCAGGAAATTCTTTTGTGGGCCAGAATCTCCTCGGTCTGGCCCACAACAACTTGACCCAACCGGTTCAAGAATGGGACCCGTCGGCGGTGTATCATCGCCGAGAGGTTCGGGTTCAGTCATACCAGTGAACTCAGTAGGGTATGAGGTATTCTTGTTGATGTTGCAGTTTTTGTACAGTGGACAAGTCTCAATTGTGCCACAAAAACATGAGCCAAGGCCTAATTGTGGAGAAAGAGGTTGTTGGCATACACATTGCACTTCAGCCGTTGATCTTGCTCTTGACACTCTCTCTACCGCTAGATCTTTTGGTGTTGAACAACTTGCTTTGCTCACTCAGGTAATTTGTCCAATCTTTTTTTTTTTGTTGGATTTTGGAAAGAGTGATAACAGATTTTCCATTTAATTTTTTTCTTGGGAAATGGGGTTTGATTAATTTTCTTTTAAGCTTTTGTTTCTTGTTTGTTAGACAAAGATTTTTTATCACAGAGAAATCTAGTAGCTTACTAGTAACAACTTCCCTCTTTTTCTGTTAGTACTAGATTTCTTTTGCAGAATCATCTGATCCAAAATATTTTTTTTTATTTTAATTTCTTTTCATATTTTTCGACTTATGTATAAACAGCTAAAGTGCATACCCAAAAAGAAAAAAGAAAAAGAAGTTGTTTTTATCCTTTTTCCTATTTTTGCATTGTTTGATGATTTTTGTGATGGAATTTTGATATCAGCTGTCTCATCTCACAATTGTTACCTTGATTTCATGTGAAATAATTCCAGTTTCTTGAATTGGGCTTTTCTTATGATCATGTTTTATGCTCAAATGTTTCCAAAAATGGTTTCTTGATTTCTCCAGTCTTGTCTTTCCACAGTGATCACGCCAAAACTTTCCCCAACAGTGATCTACTTTCCTCATTTGGTTACAAGATCTGAATAGCAAAAAAATGGAACTACTAGTGTTGAAAAAAGTACACCCTACCAACACAATTTTGAACAAACACATTAGTAGTTTGGATATCCAAATACTATCTAGATAGGTCCAACTATTGAGTTTTAGCATTTACTAGTGTTTTTCAGCACTTGATGTTCATTTTTTATATTGCATTTCTTTTACTGCTTACCTGAGCGAGGATCTATTGAAAATAGCCTCTCTATCTGCACAAAGTATGGGTAATGTCTATGTACACATTACCCTCCCCATATCCCATTTGTGGGATTATACTGTGTACGTTGTTGTTTCAACACTTAATGCTTATCAGCTATTTTTTATCAAACTAAACGGGCTCGTAATTTTTTTTTTTTTTTTTTGGGTTAAGCAGAAGCAATTGGCAATCATGGTAGAGAAAGCTTCAATTGAGGATGTGATGAGAGTTTTAATAGCATCAAGGAAGCAAGACATGCAACAATTATGGACTACTTGTTCACATTTGGTTGCAAAATCAGGCCTTCCACCAGAAATCTTAGCTAAGCACCTTCCCATTGATGTTGTAGCCAAAATCGAAGAACTCCGCCTCAAATCCAATCTAGCACGTCGATCCCTAATGCCACACCATCACGGCCACCACCACCACCACGATCTCGGCTCTGTAGCCGAGCTCGAGGACCAAAAAGTCCGTCGGATGAGACGAGCCCTTGACTCATCCGACGTTGAACTTGTCAAGCTCATGGTAATGGGAGAAGGCCTCAATCTAGATGAATCAATTGCCTTGCATTATGCTGTTGAAAATTGCAGCAGGGAAGTTGTGAAAGCGTTGCTCGAGCTTGGGGCAGCTGATGTTAACTACCCTGCTGGCCCTGCTGGTAAAACTCCTCTACACATTGCAGCAGAAATGGTGTCACCAGATATGGTAGCAGTACTATTAGACCATCATGCTGATCCGAATGTCCGAACATTAGATGGGATCACTCCGTTGGACATTTTACGTACCCTAACGTCCGATTTTCTGTTCAAAGGAGCTGTCCCTGGAATCAATCACATTGAACCAAATAAGCTGAGGCTATGTCTTGAACTTGTTCAATCAGCAGCTATGGTGATTTCTCGAGAAGAAGGAAGCGCGAATATTGATCCTTCTTCCACGACTATTTACCCGCCTAATGTCAGTGATGATCATACCTCTAGCACAAGCAGTGGTGGGAATATTGGAAATAATGTTAACATTGATTCAAGAATGGTGTATTTAAATCTTGGTGCAGCTACTAATACTCAGAATCGACACAATGGTTGTGATCCATCTTCAATGTACCACCATTCACATGATTATTAGTTAAGCTCATATATATACATCTTTTGTCCGAACAGTTCATTTATTGGGACAAGACTATAAAGGAAAGTACGATGATTAAGATTTAAATAATATTCAGATAGTTTACATATATTATCTTCTTCTTTACCTTCTCTTTATGCTATAGTAGTTCTTCTCTCTATTTTTATTTTTTTTGGTGCATATTTTTTTGATTTGTTTCTAGGGCATTCAGATGATAATGCAATGAGCAGATTTTTGGATGGGACAAAAGGAGAATCTGAGTTTTTGCTTTGTGGAGAGGAAGGGACGCAGGTCAATCTTGTCAACTCTGGCCTGTCAACTCCTTTTTGTTTTATTTTTAAGGATTTTATTTGTGTATACTGATTGCGTAATTTTTTATGTTATAATAAATTACTTTCTTTATTATTTGTTAGGCAATTAGTTTAACTTGTTACGTACAAGTACTTAGTATTATTGTTTAAGTAATCTAATAATGTAAAATGATTGTATACTGTCACTATAAAAACAAAGTTAATGGACTATTCCTCTAATTTCAATTTAGATGACACATATCGCTTATTGAAAGTCAAATTATGTGAAGTTTGACCAACATTTTAAAATTTCTATTATCATTTTGACATGAGAAAAATTGCAACTTATAGTATATAATTTTCATATAATTTTTGAATATTTAAATTTTGATTTTAAAATATTGAATTGAACTAATTCAATTTAGCTTCAAAGTATAGTCAAATTGACTCTCAATAAGTAAAAATATGTCATCTAAATTGATACACGAGGAGTATTTGTCGGGTTTTGGATGTATTTAATTAATATATTAAATACTTAAAAGAGGGTGAATGGGAAATGGAGGGAAATGAAATTTTTGAGTGAAATTTTAAGTTCCCCCTTGGCAAATGGGCATTGTCCCATATTGGAAGAGGAAGAGGTTTTTTATGGGTATATAAGCAATTGCTCTTCTTCTAGCTCTTAAAGAGTTGAGAAGAAGGCAAGCCTCGCGCCGTCGTCGCTCGCTCGGCTACGGCTACGGATTCATTTGGTCGATTGATTGATTAACTTTTTGGACCAAATTTATTTGTTAATAGTACGACTTCGGCTTCTTCGGATTCAGATTCGGATTTGGTCAAATGATCGATTGATTGATTAACTTTTTGGACCAAATTTATTTGTTAATAGTAAAATATTAACAGAAATGTTATTAAATATTTGTTTTAATAACAGAATATTAATATTAAATATTAATATTAAATCCAATCCGTTTTTCTGTTTTGGTAACAGAAAAGTAACTACCCTCTTCAATTTTTCCTCTTTATTGTTGAGTAAATGGCCATTTATGTAATGGCATTTATGATGTGGGTGTTTTGCATAAACAGCCATTCTGAAGAGTTGTACCTCTTCAGATTTCAGCCCAACTTTGGCTATAAATACAACACTATTCTGCTCAGAATTTCACTACAATTTTCTGAGTTTCTTCTTCTTCTTTTGCATACTTTTAGCATCGAAGAAAGCAAAAAGTAAGTGTGATTTGCTACCGAATTTTGTGTTCGCTGAAATCAGGGGCGGATTTAGGGGGCGCAAGGGTGTTCACCCGAACACCCTTCACCGAAAAATTACACTGTATATATAAGGCAAAATCTGTTTTTTACCTCTATATATTAAGTTTTGAACACCCTTAACACAATCCAAAAGTGTAGTTTAGTGGTCAAGGGGATTCAAAATTTACATAAGGTCATGGGTTCAATTCCCACTAGCTACAAAAAAAATTTTTTGAACCCCCTTCGTGAAGATCCTGGCTCCGCCACTGGCTGAAAAAATTTTTTGAACCCCCTTCGTGAAGATCCTGGCTCCGCCACTGGCTGAAACGCTGGGGGATTAAATTCCTTAAGGAAACACTGTGAATTTAGTGGGCTCGAAATGGTTTTCTGACATTATTGTTTATGTTCATTTCTGTTTATATTTCCAGAATTATTTTACAAATACAGTATACTAACAGTATTTTCTTCCACCAATAATTTTCTTGTCTACCAATATCCCACCTCCCAACCTGTCACACCGCAAAGGTATTATTTTTAAACACAATAATATATTTCAAATACATTATGGTGGACTAGAACATATCCAAAAAAAAAAAAAAAAGAAACAAAACCTTTTTACTTTCTAGATGATATTAATGTTTATGTTTATTAATTTGCATGAAAGATTTCAAGAATGGATGTCGTTTAATTTGGCTTCTTGTATATGGTGGGGTTATATGTTTCTTTTGAGGCCATATTAGGACATTAGACCTTTTTATTCTAATGAGGAAATTGAGCTGGCTCATCACCCCCTTTTAATCTATTTTATGTTATTTTATATTTATCCTGTGTACTGCCTAGAAACTTGATTGGCTTTGATTTATAATTTTCTATAGAAATGTATTATTAAAGACAGGAATTGGGATTACAAAATTATATTGTTTGTCTTGCATGGATGCAACATTGAGTGTGACTGCACGACGGAATTTTAACATTTTTCTTTTCTTTTTTTTTTTAAGAAAAAAGATTTGCAGGGTCTGTCAGACAGCCATTAGACCATCCCAGCACCCATGATTAGGAGCTGAGAACGATCATCTATGGCACCATAACCCGAGGGCCGTGGAAAGCTGTTACTCACACTCTTGACTAATGGCCATGCCTCATCAACCAGACTTGATTTCCTGTCTCCTTAGAATTCACTGAATCCATCTATTTATGTAAAATCCTCTTTTTTGTCTCTTGTTCCCCATTTTCAAGTCACTCCAAATTGAAAAGTTTAAGAAAAGAAGGAAGAAAAGCTTGGAGATTGTGTAATGCTTACTCTCAAACTCTTCGTTTACACTGTAGTGATATTTTTTGTTTCTCTCTTCGTCTTTGGATTCCTATCTAATGATCCCGGACGACTTGCGAGTGTTTTTCCTTTTTTATGTGGCTTTACTTTAACGACGACTTGAGGTAATATTACAGTTTTGAATCAAAAATAAAAAGTAACAAGAATCTTTTGTGAATTAATTGATACCAATCTCTTGTGTTATTTTTATCGATCTCAAATGAAAATAATCATATATCTAATTTTTTGTAATCAAAGGTGGAGCTAGCCTATGAGGTATTTCGACAGGACCGGTCACTTTTAGTTAAACTAGTCTTATGATACGCGCGTTGCTCGTGTACACTCTCTCAATGAAAAAAATATTATATTAACATATTATATTTGATTTATTTATAATATAAAAGAATATGTTCTTAAAAATAATAAATGTTGATCTTGTGTACCAAATTCAATAAAAGAAAAAATTACCGCATAAACGTTTTCAATCATCTGTTAATATATTCAAATATAAATTTATTTTAGTTTTATAATGTCATCACTCTAAATTCAAAACTTATTATTCTTCCTTCCCAGTTTCAATATTCACACATAAACTTTAAAAGATTTATGATTTTAATTTTAAAATTCTAATTTAAGAGCTTTACCAAAAAATGAATTAGGTTGATGAAATATTAATAGTTTCCTGCTTATTTTATCTTCTTATTTTTTTCTCTTACCTACGATAATTTTGACTTGACTTTAATAGGGATATTAAATATTAAATTTTTTTTCTTTTTCCTTTTTAAAACGACGGCAATCATGTTTGTTAGGGATATATTATTTGAAAAAGGAGTTTCCCACTTGTTTTCTCTCTTTTTTTTTTTATATGCGCATTTTGAATTTTATAAAAATAAATTTTATTTGTATTTAAATTTTGTAAAGGCAAATAACATTTCGCTAAGGAGTTTCGTGGTTTTAATATAGTATATAAAAATATAAAATATTAGTGTAAATATAAGTATAGATATACATAGATATATAAATAAGAAAATAGTTGAATATAAACTAAATTTTATTATACATGCTTTCCAACTGTGATAATATCTTGATTTAACTTTGTATAACTATTAAGAAATTGGGAATAACATATCTTCCATTTAGTAAATAAGATATGATGTGACTTAATTTGATCAAAATATAAGAGAGAAAATATTATATAAAGAAAAATAAATATGAATCTTCATGCGATTTTGGACAAAAATGTGTTGCTTCCATTTTAAAGTAATGTCCATCTTTCTTTTAGTTGTCATCAAATAAACTCTTTAAATGAAATTCATTTTAAATTTGTTTTAGTTTTTAAGTTTCAAATTGATACGCCACTTAAGAAGAAGAGCGAAAAGTTCTACTATTTGGTAAGAGAATATTTAAGTCAAAAGCGTGTTTTAGTATTTGAATTAAAATTATTGGTTAAATTAATTTGGGTGATTGGAAGTAATAAATTCTAAAAGGAAAGAAATTATAAACTAAAATCTTACTCGGTTCCAACTTCTTAATTATATAATTTTGTACATAATTCGAAGATGGAAAAATTTAATCAATAAATAATTTTGATTGATTTTGTAATCCTAAATATTAGGAAAATAATTATGACTATTCCTAAATATTAAAGAAATAATTTAATTAATATTCCTAAATATTAGGTTATACATTAAAAACTAAAAGACTATTTTGTTCAGTGTGAACTTATTTGTTAAAGGGTAAAAAAGACGAACGATATTTTGCTAAGGGCCTTCGTGCTTTTAATATAGTATAGATATAGATATTGTATTTGTACTTAAAATTAATTAAATATGCATAAATGTTTAATTGTGAACTCAGTAACTAAAACGAGTTATGGGTTCCGCGGCAAATTTAGAACCCATTGATGATAGGCTATAATTACGTATTTTATTCGATTATTACACTCTAATTTACTGCACCTTAGTTGAGTTTGCGCTTTAATCGCTAGTGTTTTACACTAATGGTATGTTTTATGCCTTGTAGGACTGATTCCGAGCTATGTAGATGTTATGGAATGAATTCAAGTGATTTGGAGCTTTGAAGTCTGAGTAAAAGCCCAAGAAATTAAGCCGGGATCGTGTTTGGGGGTCAACGGATGATAGTTAGAGCGAACGAAGACTCCAGTAGGCATATTACGCACTGTCTAGTAAAATAGATATAACCTTTTGCTCAGAACTTCATTTAGGCTCCACAATATATGGTTGGATAGCTAACTCAATGAGCTAC